GCCAGGCTGCTCTCTCCATACAGCTTCCTTCCCCTGATTCTGTAACCACTTGAGCCCTTCATACCTTCAGGCCTGGGGGGCTAATGGCTCCTGCTATTGCCAGCCCCCAGATATTGGACTATCCTTTGCAGACTTCCCTATAACCCCTGCCCACACCTGTGTAAATGGTTCTGTTATTATTCACCTCTGTTAATGGGGTGTGCGATCTCCTTCCTGCTGTGACCCCGACTGCAACAGCATGTAACTAGCATCAGAGAGAAATTTATGCTCAGAGGAAGCAGGCCTGGTGGGCATCTAATGTTTCTGCCCAAGCATTTCCCACCCACCACTCTGCTTCACTGTTCCTTTGGGGATCCAGCCCTCCCCACTTCCTATCTGTAAGTGTCATGTCAGAGCCATGCCCATGATCCCTCACTCTCCAGGTAGGCCTGGGATTCAGTGCTGGCCAATAGACCAATAAGAATATCATAGCCCTCTGAACAGTGGCATGTGGCCCAAGTGAGAGCCAGGAAGGCTCAGTTCTGGGACTCTGTGAAAAGAGAAGCTCTTTCCTTGAGGTTGCTGAGAGACAGATGATGCCTAGGGCTGTGGTGGCCATTGTCATACTACTATATGGGGAGTCTGTCTGGGAAAGAAGCTGATAAAGAACGCCAAGTGCAGACCTACATACACACACACACACACACACACACACACACACAGACTGTTTCAGCTCCTGAGTCCAACCATGCCTGAAGAGATCTTCTCTCTGGACTCTTTAGTTACATAAGTCAATAAATGATAATTTTTGCTCAAACCAAAAAAAAAAAAAAAAAAAAATGTGTGAGAGAGTTACACATACATGACACCTAGCAGCTCATAGATGTATTGGTAATTTTATTTTTAACTGTTTGGCTGTTAGATTTTTACTTCAGTGCTAGAAAACTTTCTGAAGAGAAAAAAATTTTTGTTCTTTTGTTGTTTCAGCCTAAGTGAAATAAATAAGCATTCTTGGTGACTGCTCAGTCATTCATTCATTCACTCATTCATTCAGCAATCATGTATTAAGCCCAGATTTTAAAAGCCACAGCGGGGTGGCAGGAGCCAGAGACACAAAGATTAGTAGCACATTGGCTCTGTTCTCAGAGGGCATCTCCATAGTCATGGTGAAGAAGAACCAGATTCCAGCACCAGCTCTAATCTGCACATGGGCAGTTTGCTAGCATCTCTGTCAGTTTTCCTCATCTGCAAGGGTAAGTTTCCCCATCAAAAGAGGCATTTCAAGCAAAGACAACAGTGCTAAGGCCAGATTGTGCTCAGCACATGAGGGACTTAAGAGAACTTGGCCATGGTGGAACTAGGGAGCTGGATTCATAGTCACAGGTCAGCATGGGGATCAGCACAGGCAGGGGGCAGGTTGTGTAGGGTATGAACTTCAGGGAGGTGAGGAAAAGGAGAAGCAGGATTTGGACCAAGGGGTTTGGTAACCAGCTCCAAGATGGTTCCTGGTATCCTCACCTCCTGGCCTGTGTCCTGTCCCCTCCCTCAACGAGCAAAGCTGATCTGGGTTAGCTAAGAGGATAGTATGGAAATGATAAAGTGTGACTTCTGAGGGTGGGTCATAATAGACACTCCCTTGGATCATTTGTGGAAGCCAGCTGCCACGTAGGACAGCCAGCCAGATAGCCCTACAGAAAGGACCCTGTGTTGAGGAACTGAGCCTCCTCCTAGCAGCAGCCATGTGACTGCGCCAAACTGATGGGTAGTAGTTTTCTAGAGCTGCCATAAAAAAGTACCACCAAATCATGGCTTAAAACACAGAAATTTACTACTTCGTAGTTCTGGAGGCTACAAGTCCAATATCAAGGTGTTAACAGGGCCATGCTTCTCCTGAGACCTGCAGGGGAGAATCCTTCCTTGACTCTTCCAGCTTCTGATGTTTGCAAGTAATCCTTGGTGTTCCTTGGCTCGTGGATGCATCTTTCCACCCTTTGCTTCTGTCGTCACATGGCTGTCTTCTCCCTGTGTGTCTTTATCTTCTCCCTTTCTTATAAGGACACGAGTCACATTGGATTAAGGGGCCACCCTACTCTAGTGCGACCTCATCTTAATTAATCACATCTACAAGACCCTATTTCCAAATAAGGTCACATTATGATGTCCTGAGGGTTAAGACTTCAACACATCTTTTTGGGGAACACGATTGTCGATAATGTTCTCCACCTCCAGTGGAGCCTTCAGCTGACCACAGCCCCGGCTCACGCCTTGACTGCAGCCTCATGAGACCTTGAGCCAGAACAGCCCAGCTAAGCCACTCCCAGATTTCTGACTTACAGAAACTATGTGAGTTAATCGTGTTCAGGATTTTTTTTAAGCCACTAAGTTTTGGGGTGATTTATTGTGTGTGAATAGGCAAAGCAAGGAAGAAGACATGGCAGGAAAAGACCGAAGGCCTCCAAAGCAATCTTGCTCACAGATCTTCATGTCTAATCAGCATTTATTTTGAATCAGAGGCTTTTTATGCAGCATTTCATACTAAAACTTTTGAAGTTTTGCCATTTGTACATCCACTTTGTTGAGAAATCATTTGTTCATCTAGTGGGTACTTGGGTGTTCGAGCCATTCTGAGTTTCACTGGAGGTCCATGCGGCTCAGGGTCCCTCTCTGGGCAGCGCTTCAGTGCCAGGCCACCTCACAGGTCACCAGCCAGCCAAAGCTGGCTGGTCTGGCGTCAGGTGCCTACTCCCGGCTCAATGTGTGATGGCCAGGGGGTGGGGCCACAAGGCACTGAGCAGGGCCACCTGTGGGTAAGGGGTTTCCCTCAGCAGGGCCGTGGGCAGCTGTCTCTCCCTGCGGGAGGGGGACGGTGGGCACCGGCACGGAGGCTGCACAGTTTTGCCTTCTCTAGGAACAGGCTTTTTTAAGTCCAATGTGAACACAGCTCACTGTGCCTCTCACTTCCTCTGTGAGGAAAACCACAGACAGGCACAGCTGCACCTACATGAGAAACCACAGGGACCAACTGACTTCCCCCAACTCTGATTCGACCAAAAATACATTTGATTTCCTGCCTCTGTGTTATGGTCCGGATTACCGTTTGCTTCCTTGAATTTCAGGATTATAGTTGACAAAAGCATATCACAACCATTAGTCATAGGTGTTTTTTTTAAACCCTGAAAATGACTAATTTTACTCATTCTCCCATCCTTCACTGTGTTCTCCCATCTGGCAGCTACTTCTTTTTATTATAAAAATAATTTTTTTTTACCACCATCATTTATGTCTCCCCTCATTTCTACTTCATAAACAATTTGTTCTAAATTATCCATAGAAAGTAACTCAGAAAGTTCTAGGTGCTGTGTTCAGAAGGGCAGAATGTGCATCCAGTAAGTAAGTGCTTACTGGGTGGAGTAGTTCCACCAAGTCTGTATTTAGGACTGCTCTCTCTGTGTCTCTCTTTCTCAGGCTGACTTGAATCCTCTTGGCATGAAGCAACAATATGCATGTTTAAGATGATTTTGGTTTCCCTGGGGTTTGGGGCAGGGAGCTAAGTGGGCGGCAGACAGCCACATCCGGAGCCACAAGCTCACTCCTCCCAGCAGGCCCTGCACTGGGGGGGGGGGGGGGGGGGGGGGGGGTGCAGCAGGCTAGCTCCGTCATTTGGTGGGAGAGGTCCTGCTCCTGTTCCAGGGGGACTTCCCAGGGCTTCCTCAGGAATTCTGAGTTCTTCCTGCTTATTCCCTGAAGATGTGACTCATTTCAAACCTTTGCGAGTGAGCAGTGAGTCAGCAGGGGTTTTGCTTATTTGGATCATTCCTACATGGATTATTCAACACACATTCTATGAATGAGAGGACTGTGGTGTGACAGGGTTAAAATAAATTGTCCAAGGTCTATGCAGTGAAGAGTAAACCATGAGGCCAAGGAAGTGAGCCTGGACAGTCTTGGGACCAGGGGCTGTATTCTCTACAGCCAGAGAAGGAGTCTAGAAGGTCACACTGCAGGGGAATGGGGAAGGAATCCAATGTTTACTTTGTATAATGAAATATATGCACATACTCCTTTAAAAACCTAATTAAAAAAGAAAACTGAACAGCCACAACATGGAAGAGGCAAGTCACAGAAGGCTAATTATCCATCTTCTTTAAAAATTATCCATTGTCCCACTTAAAAACTATCTTGAGTTACTAGGCATTGAGTCAAAATGACTTTGAAAAGTTGGCTACAAATAACACAGAAACTAGTGGCCTAAAAATGTCTTCCCTCTCTGATTATGATGGTCCTGCATTTGGAACTCCTCTCATGGGAGGGCCTTGCTCTGCACCGGGTGGGCTTTCCGCAAACACCTGTCGCGTGATAAAATGAAGGAATGACTACAGACGGCCAACCTCCATGGCAGTTCTTGCAACTTCTCTTCCAGAGGCGTGATGCCGCTCTCAAAGGACAGGCCCTCTGGGGACTGCGCATGGACTCAGCCCTGCATGGTTCCATCCTGCACAGCTGGGCGACTGGAAGGCTCTTGCCCAAAGTTAGCATGATTTATTTAGGTCCCTGGAATCCCTGGATGAGACACGTTGTGCAGAAAGAATCCTCTTACTCATACTTTCCCTCTGCTGCCCCTCTCTCCAGCTCTTGTTTCCAGCCCCTCTCTCTCTCTCTCTCTCTCTCTCTCTCTCTGAGGCACTGCACTCTTTTCCAGTTATTATGAGTCCTGCCTGACACATTCCATTTACTGATGGAAAGGCATATGGGAGGGAAAGTTCCCTTCTATTTTTAAAAGCTGCTTCAAGATCCACATTTCTGATGTTGCTGGTGGCTTGGTATTACCATTTCATCTGGATAAAATTCTGTTCATCCAGAATGGAAAAGGACCCACACAGCCATTTCTAAAACAGCTTTTGCTCTGAGAGTTTGTTTCCTACCTTAGAAAGTGAGGCTTATGAGATACTTGTATGTCCTGGGTCTCACTTGATCAACAATAAGAACAAGGAAAACACACACAAAACCCACTCTCTTGTGGATGTGTAAAATATAAAGTGACATTTATTTTTATTTTAGCTTTTAAAACCAATTGTACAATGAGAGGTTTGCTGGAGGAAGATGTGGCTTGAAAAAGATACATGTGAGCAGGGAATACCAGAGAAGACTTGATAATTCACATCAAAGATGAAGAGACACTGGGGGAAGGTGTGTCTCCTACTTCATCCCACAGCTCCCACGATGGGGTGTGGGGCAGAGAGGCGGTCCCAGTGCTCGTGAGCTGCGGCCTGGGCAAGCGCTGGGCTGCCCACCCCACACCGCCCTAGTCCCTCTCATACAGCCGCCCGTAGAGAGCTGCCGTCACCAGGCCAGAGGACAGTCCACTCTTGCTCAGGAAGAAGTAGTCATTCTCCCAGCCAAGCTGCTCAGGGGTTTCCAGGGACATCCCTGATGTAAGAAGCAGAGGAAAGATATAGGAAGTACTGAAGTTCCCCCATAGGTGAAACTCAAATATCCCTGTGGCCTCTGTGATCTCCTGCCCACAGGTGTCAAAGCCAAGACCCCCACACTTGACCAGGGCGCAAACTTGAACATAATAAGTGCCGTGCACAGTGTGAAGACCATCAAAGACCCCCAGGGCATACAGCTCTTTGGACAAGGTGGGCCGCTGGTAAAGTAGATAACAGCAGAGGCCATTTGCACAGACACGGAGGTAGCCTTCCTTTCCCCACACAGGGACCAGGGTGAAATTGTCATACATCATCTCAGAGTGAAACGCAGGAGGAGTGTTCATGTTCCACTTGGCAGCTTCGTCACAGTGGACTTCCTGAGCATCCTTTTCACAGTATGGACCACCTGCCAAGATTTCTAAAAACTTACTATGAGATGGGTTCATTTTACCGGTGGAATTCTCAGTGCCAACAAGACCCGGTGGATTTTTGGCTACTTGTGCAATTATAAGATGACCGGTGGCGTTTTCCATGTCATGGTGCCAGAAGGACTTCAGAGGGCTGTGTATGCCACTTCCAGTCATCCCCAGAGATGGGTGGTGGATGTTAGCAGCCAGCAAGTTGATACCAAAGGCAATGGCAAAAGCTCTCTGAATCTGAATCGCTGCCAAGAGTGGGAGCTGGTTCATCCAGGCAGTCGGATACACGACATGCTTCACCTCAGAGTCTTTGAGGAGTCTAACGGCAGGGTCAAAGAACAAGATATCAAAGCAGGTGAAGATGCCAAATTTGCCAGCAAAAGGGGTATCAAAGATGATGTGATCCACTTTGAGAGGGGCATCAAAGGCTGCCTCAAAGTAGAGGTTGTGTTTGCGATAGCGGTCAACAAGGGTTCCGTTATTGCTGAACACGACATTCGTGTTAAACTGGTATCTTCCGTCATTTGGGCACCCAGGGTCATTGTTCTGACAAGGCTGCTTGGTCCCAAGATTGGCCACCAGGAACATATTTCCCTTGATGGCCATACAACTCAGACGCTGGAGGACCTAAAGACAAAAAAAGGTATAAATAAGTGAATTTTTACAATCCCGCCATTTGCCATATATTAAAATAGAAAAGTACCTGTATTGTGTCCATAACATGTAAACAGTTATCATAAATCAGTAAAAAAAACACTACTGAAAAAGTGCACAGGATATGAACAGGTGATTCACAGAACAAATGGCCAGTGGACATCTGAGTATCTTCTAAGTATCAGTATCTTAGTAATGAAGAACTGCAAATTAAGATAATGATATATCATTTTGCACCTTCATAAGATTGGCAAAAATTCAAAATATTTTTACATCTTGCATTGACCAAAGGTGAGGGAAACAGGCACTCAAATCAAGACTATTACGAGGGATGTAACATGAAATAAAGGTCTTTTAAAAGGGAAATTTGGTACTCTTGAAAATCATTTAAAATGTGCATACCCTTTAGCTGAGAAATTGCATTTCTTGGAAACTTACCTTACAGAAAAACTTGGACATATTCATGAAGATGTATGTACAAGAATATTCACTGAAACATTATAATAGCCAGGGTTTTACAAAAGCACATAGCATGCTAATCAAGAGGATGTCAGTAACTAAGAAGTGAATAGAAAAGAATATAGTTGGATGCATATCAAACTGTTGATAGTAGTTTCTCTAGGAAGGGAAGGAGGGTGATGGGCGGGGTGTGTGAAGATGGACTTTCTGATTCATTTATTTTCTAAGCATATATCCGTGTATGTCTTATGTAATTAAGAAACAGAACAACCCAAAGATGAGTAAATGCCCCCATAATACCAGACATTCTTTAACTGAATGACTATGTGGCATAGGGAGTTTGGGGAACTTGGGTTTCATTTTCAGTCCCACTTAACATGTCTTGGCTTTTGGCCCCTGGCTCGGCTCATCTCTGCATGCCTTCAGCCTCCTGAGGAGGAAGGCTGGGACCCTCCCTTACCTCTGTGTCATTGAATCGGTGGGGCTCCAGGCAAGGATTCCACCTGACCAACTGGGGGGACGGTATGAAGTCCAAAAATGGGTAAACAGATGTTCTTGTAAAGTTGAATCCATGAATGCCGTCTTCTGGAAACACTATAATCTGCACACCCTGTAGGTCAAACACATCAAAGTATGATATGTTATCTGATAACAGGAAACACCCCTTCTTCCACCTGTTCATTCTTTCGTTCACTCATTGGACAGCCATCAAGTAGTTCTGTGCCAGGAACCAGAGGTTCTAAGATGGTGGCTGGACTGTCATCAGGGATCTTAGTCTTGGAGAAGCTGTTTCACTTGGCCTCATTGTGAGGTAACAAAGACAAATGGATTTAGAACAACCCTTAGCCATACCTGGGGTCACTTTAGGGAAGGAAGGAATGAGTGAGATTGGAGCAGAAAGCAGGAGTTTGCCAAGCGGACCATCAGGAGAGGTTTGGAGTTCCTGGTGGTCCAATGGGGTATGGGGCACAGTACAAAGGCCTTGAATACTGGGCTTGTTAACAGATGGGGTGTCTCCAGTCCAGTGTTTCCACTTATTGTGCATCTAAATCAGATGGGGAGCTCCTGAAAAAACACTTGGTTTAGGGGTGATGCTGGGGCCCACTCCTAAAAAGTCTGCTTCAATTGACTGGGTCCGGCCACAGTGTTTGCTGAAAGGTCCCCAGGTGATTCTAACGTGCAGCCTAGTTTGGGACCCACTGGGCTGGTGGGTAAAATTCAAGTGTGTTGATTTCAGCATAGAAATGAGGACTTTCTCTAACTTGCAGTTCTCCAGCTGGGAATTAGGAGGCCCCCCTTCAGAATCCTAACCATCCCACAGGCTTTGACCCACACCTGGAGACACCCTAGGTCCCCTGACTATGACAGCCTAGGGCTCCCTGTGATGTCTGTGTTAACCGAAGGAAATCCAAACAAGCAGGGCGCCCTCAGCTCTCAGCATCAGGGCCTCATTCTCCTACTGCTTCTCCACTTACACAGCTTAAAATGTCAAGCCTGGAACATTGCCCCAGAGTGAAAGGTGGAGGAGGAAGGCAGAGAAGGTATGAATAATCTAAAATAAGAGGCAATTTGAGTCACTTATTTCTGGAATGCACTGCAAGCTCTTTATAATAATTTTTTTCTGGCTAAAACTTTGAAAGTTTAGCGGTAGAAAACTTGGGAGAACAGATCATATTATTATTGGTTTAGTTAATATCTTGGCTATTTTTATTTTGTGTCTGTGTGTGTGTATAATTGAGATAATAATAAACATATGGTCCTCCAGGGGCACCTGGGTGGCTCAGTTGGTAAAGCATCAGACTCGTGATCTTGGCTCAGGGTCATGAGTTCAGGCCCCACATTAGCTCCACTGAGCATGGAACCTACTTAAAAAATTTTTTTTAGATAAAGTTTTCCATCTTGACTCTCCTTGCTACATAGAGCATCAAGACTAGAAAGATACCTTCAAAAATATCATTTGCAATGGCCACATTATATTTAAGAGGACATCATAATTCATCCTTTATCAGTGGACTTCTGAATTGTTCCCAACTTTTGGTGACCATCTGTATAGAGGGTGCTCAAAACACTTAGTATTGTACACAAGTGTTTGGTGTCTGAGGATTTCTTTAGAACGAAGTCTTGTAAGTGAAAATACTGGCGCCAGATAAGAAGAGTTTTCAGCTCTTTACACTGCCAAATAGCTTTCCAGAAAGATTATACTGGTATATGCTCCTTCCCGTAGAGTAAGATTGGTCACCTTACAGTACACTGTAGAGCAAAATTATTGTAAACTTGGAAATAAAGCAAGATGAAGAATGTTTGCCTTTCTAACATATACTAGGGTACTGTTTAACTAGGCTCACTCAAGGATTATTTAGTGTATGTACTCCTGTTTGGCCTTGTTATTTAATATTAGATCACCCCAAACTGCAATTGTTTTGCTCTATAGGACATTAGCCAGTTTTGTATCCATGAGCAAATTCATTTCAACATTCATTTGACTGACTGATACATACACTTCTGTTCCTCACATGCTCTTTTGAACTAGCTTTACCATCTGACTGATTTCTTCATTAATCAGGGAGTTAAACAACAGCTTTGGCACATGTTCATTCTGTATTTGTGTAAGAGTCATGTCTTAAAATTTTTTTGTAATGTTTTTATTTATTTTTGAGAGAGAGAGAAGGGAAGAGGGAGAGAGGGAGAGGCGCACAGAGTGCAAGCAGCAGAGGAGCAGAAAGAAAGGGAGACACAGAATCCAAAACTGGCTCCAGGCTCTGAGCTGTCAGCACAGAGCCCGATGCAGGGCTCGAACCCACAAATGGTGAGATCATGATCTGAGCTGAAGTCGGACACCCAAACAACCTAGCCACTCAGGCACCCCAAGAGTCATGTTTTTAATTTTTTGAAAATTATACTTGGACAAATGTTCTCCTTTATTAAAAACAAAGCTTTGAGAACATTGAATGGTTTCCTATGGACAATACCATTTATGTTATGTATGCATATTAGATTAATACTAAAGTTAAATTGCATTTCCTGAATACATATTTTCCAGGAATAAGAAGAGGAACAAAACCTGAGCCAGGGCAGAACGCTGGATCTAATGTGATTACCAATCCATCCAGAAAGCAATTACCATCCCTGATAAATGAGCAGTTTTCGGAGAGACTTCACTGAGGTCAAGAACTCCTGAGGAATTAAGGTTCCCAACCCAGCTAGCGGACCAGCCTAATATCTTTAAGTTGGACGCCTCTTCTTCCCTATAAATATCCCTATAAATACCAAGAGAGAAATACTCGGTTTGCTAGTTGAGGAACCCTTGCCTTCCAGCAAGTTTGATCTAAAACTTTGACACACGCCTGGCGTCAATTTGTCTTACAAGTTGCTTGAACGCAAAAAACCACGCAGGGAAGCCGACAGAGATCTGTAAGCACTAAAACATGATCAGATCAACAGTCCATGCTCTTGGACTACAAACAGAAGGAATGATGCCTTGCAGGCAGAATGGGCTCAACGAAAACATGTTAGAGGTTTCCTCCGGGGGCAGGCTCCTGGAAGGCAGGGGAATACCACAGTCCCAGTCCCTGGGCTTCAGCATGGCATCTGCCCGATGTCTGAGAATGGTCCTGCAGACAGGATGGAGAAGCAAGACGTGGCTCATCTTTCAGCGCCTTGCAAGCAAATGCCTCTGTGCACAGAATGGTCTCGAATGCACCTGTGTCATCAGGAGGTCTAAGGGCACAGCCTGGGATTTTTTTACACTGACCTCAGCGTAAACAAAAATGAGGTGTGTATCAAATGTGTGGATGACGTGAAGGTAACTGATACGCAGGATGTCAGTAAAGATCCCCAAATAGCCGAACAGGCTGGAATGACGAGATTTAACAACATCAACGTGAAGTCGTGTGTTCGGGTTAAAGAAGTTAACCTTGTAAGTACCGGATGGCAAGGGCGGCACGTGTGTCTGTGTGTGGGAAGAAGACTTGGGAGTGAGTTGGCAGCAGATGCCTTATGAATCCACAGTGAGATGTGGCTGCCAACACTTTTCTGGGGACAACGTCTCGAACCAGAATGGTGCTACATCTTCTCCCCCTGCCCTCGTCAGACAGAATAGGGAGAACTTCCTACGGCTCTGGGCACAGAGATAATCTGGGAAATCTTTGTAGAAGGGACATACAGCCTGGGGAAGAGATGCCGGGTTCTGAGGTAGGGGGTGGGGCATCACGGCTGTCCTCCTGGGGAAGAGGCTCGCCGTGGTCAGGCCCTCAGTTGGTTCTGTTTAGCTCAGAGGAAAGAACGGGTGGCAGTTGCCAGGTGGCAAACTGTTATTCACTGAAAGGAAGACCTTGCCAGAAGCTCGCTCTCTCAGACAGTGCATTCTGGGCCACAGAAGGTGTTCAAGGAGAGACTGGATGTGGGGCTTTGAACGAGAGGAGCATCACCCATTAGAAGCAGGACCAGGTCTTTAAACTCTCTTCCAATATTAGCTTTATATGTGTGTATATTGTTTTTTAATTTTTAATGTTTATTTTTTGAGAAAGAGACAGGAAGTGAGCAGGGGAGGGGCAGAGAGAGAGAGAGAGGGAGATGCAGAACGTGAAACAGGCTCCCGGCTCTGAGCTGTCAGCACAGAGCCTGATGCAGGGTTTGAACTCACAAACCTTGAGATCATGACCTGAGCCGAAGCCAGATACTTAACCTACTAAGCCACCCAGGTGCCCCTATATATGTGTATATTTCTAAAAGGTAGCCTGTAATTTTATATATGTATATATCTACATACACGTGTAATGAGGCAGCATTTGAAACCCTAGCAAATGCTAGTGGCTGTCCAAGCGATCCCGGGCACCCTGAACAGAGACAGGGACTGTTGGGAGCAGGACCTGCTGGCCTCAGCCATTCTGCCCCCAAACTCACAGGTGCCCTGAAGTGTTGCTCACGTGGAGCATACCTCCTGTCAAGGTAGACCAGGGCTTCCTCACACGACAGGGCTCTGTCACAGCACACCAAGTGAAAATCCAAATTTCCCTTTGGTTATGGGTTTCCCAGCAGGGCATTTTGTGACGGTCACACCTGGCATGGACACTGCCCCACCCTTCCTGGCAGGGGTGGGCAGTGCAGGCCAAGCAGGAAGCCTTCACAAAGGCTGGCAAGGACCTCCCTTTGTCCGTCTCAGTTCTGTCTGGCCTGAGGTCTCAGACTGTTCATGGTCTGGAGCAGACCAGAACAGAGACCAGAAATGAGCCCCAGATAAACTGAAGGTGGCAAACAGCAGCTCTGTGGCTGCTTACTATTTTGAATGCCTCAGAGAACAGGAGAGACCCTCATGCCTCATCTGGTAGTTTCCAGATTTTTCTGCACATCAGAATCCACTGGGGAACCTTAAAAACTCCCAGTGCTCAGTCCACACCCTGTCCGCCTCTGCGGGTGTGGGACCCAGGCACCCACTTTGTTTATGATAGGCCAAGCGCTCCGTCTGCACGGCCACATTTGAGAACCAGGGACTAGGCTCTGGGCTTCCCAGACAGGAGGGGAAAGGCGGCACTGGGCATCTTGCTGCGATGTTGACTGATTCAGCAGGTCCAGGACAGGCCCCAGAGGGCTGGTGATGCCACTGGTCTGCGGACCACTGAGCAGCCAGAGCCCAGCCACCTGACTACGTCAGCGCCACCAGAGACCAATCTGCCCTGTTCTGCTAGACAAGCTGGGGGGACGAACCCAGGAGTGTTTCTTGCCTTTTGGGCTGCGATCATCACTTGCTGTTCGTAGATGTCGAGGTTCTGGGTCATGAGTTCCAAGGCCTGCTTGCGGCTCGTGAGTGCTAGAGGGTTGGGAGTCAAGACGGACTGGTGCTCGTATACGGCAGCCACGTAGTGTGCAGCCTCAGCGTGCTGGGCCACGCACCGCTCCTCGCCGTGGACGCCCAGGATAGCCGCGTAGCAGCCGAAGAGGAGGAGAGCAGGAGGACTGAAGGCTCCAGACATAATGCAGACCATAAATCTGGCTCGTAAGGAGGCAAGGGGAAAACAGCTGAATAAAGAATCCTGCCAAGAATGTAACTTTTGCAGCTGTGATTTATTAATCTCTGCAATTAAACCTACCCGCCGTGATGCTGCAGCTCAAGGATTCGTTTCATGTTCCTAATAAAAGGGTGTGTGTTTCTCTCCAAACACGGAGCAAAGCCACATTTAAACTGGCTCACTGTGCTAGTCTGGTTTTAGAACGTTTCCAAAACAGACCCAGTGTTTGCCATGATTTTCTTACCCGGCGTTCAGCAAGACGGCAGTTTTAGGCAAGAATAACTACTGTGATTATTTTACATAATTCGGTGACATACTCCACATCCCACCACCTGCCCTCTACACACGCAAACACGGCAACCATCCACGCCGGCTCTGCCTCTTGTGATCCCGGTAATACAGCCCGGCTCTCCGAGCTACGAAAGTCTGATGGATTAAAATTCTCCCTGCATTTCTTTGGTCAGTAATTGTTATAAGGGGTAAGTCCTTAGCACGACAGTCTTTATTTCATGCAGAGATGCTGCTGACTTCTACTTAAGTGCCAGTATCTACTCTCTGTTATGAATAGGTAAAAGGAAGCCTCCCGATCAAAGCACTTTGTTTCTCTTCCTTGAATGTGGGAATGGCCACGCACGCCATCACCTTCTCAACCTCTTTCTCTGCGATTCCAAAACTCATGCTCAAAAGCATAATCGTTTGGAAATAAAATCCTTTTGCAGCGATAAAATGCAACTGTCTAGAAAATAAGCCAGGATCTTCTAGGAAATATACTAGAAGTTTCTAGGACGTAAACTCGGCTTCGTAGGTCCTGCCATAAGCGATTAGAAGTACATTATGTCACTTACAATGACACTTCTGTGTGCTTTTTTTTCCCCAAGACTAGTTTTTATTTCTCATAGTAATGTGTTACTGTGTGAGAGTGACCATTCCAATTCGGCCTTGAAAACCAGCCTGGCCTCCCACCGAAGCCCCTCGCCTGACACAGATTTACCAGGGGCTGGGGCCAAGGCCAGGCCTCTTGCTCTGCGGAGATGTGCTGGGGCTGCCCTAGCGCCCAGGAATCCAGATTAAACAGCCAGATAACAACGACAAATCAAGGAATCCTGCTGCTTTTTAAAAAGACACCGCGCCCTGTCCAAGTCTGACTCATAACTTCTGTGTTTGCATTTAAAACCAAACTTTCCAGGCTGCAAACTTCCTTTTCTTTTTCCTCTTAATAGTTCCAGAAACAAAAGTAACTAAGTATTTGCAGCAACAGAACAAGGCCTCGGAATGCTCAGTGTGAATCGTTGCAAAAGCAAAGGCTTGTGGGGCTGAGCAGACTCCTCCCGTGGGCCCCCCGCTCACACTGTCGCTTCTTGCCACGGGGAGTTAAGTGCACCATCCAAACCAAACCCCAGGACTCGCTGCCATTCATCTGGGACAGGGAACGATGTTATAAGATTAGAACAAGGAGCCTTTGAGTAAGCAGTCATGAGTTTCTGAGTAGAAACAAAAGTATAATTGATAAGGTTTCTTATCTGAATTTTGCCTCTGAAGGCCGGCAAGGGGTAATTTTAACAGTCTCAAAATCTTTTTGCCATTCCCTCTGGTTTCAGAATTCTGATAATAATGGGGGTGGTTTGGGGGAGACACGTTCATCTTCAAAGACACATTCCTGGTATTTGTCAAGCAGTGGGCGCTGGCCTCCGTCAGAGTGGGGAAACTGAGGCGGGGGCGGGGCGGGGAGAGCTGCATGAACCAGTGCCCGGTGGAGCAGGCTCAGGAGTTGCTGCGGCCCAGCAGGGTGGTCACAGCCTACCCCCTTCTCCGCGAAGAGCTGTGTTACTTGGGGACAGAGAGCATTTGTTTAAGTGTCAGGACTTGCAAAACAGTAAACCAAGAAAACTGTGGAACCGGCAAGATACCGCATTTCTTTCTATTTTGAGAAAATAAAAATTTAGATTATTTACAAAGGGCGCTTGGCAGGAGAGCTGTAAATGGCAATCGCTTGTGTGTGAACAAAGGTGAGTCGATAATAAGAGGGTAGGCAGATTCAACCAGGTATTCATGCTTGAAAGAAGCGAGCGTAATGAGGTAGGAGAGAACAAGTAATTACGATAAAAATAGGCACCGCTGCGTAACCGTCCTGATGTGTGGAAAACGGCAGCCAGTTTAACCAAATTTGCAAATGCTGGCTTCCCCTCTCTCGGTGGCACTGCACAAACCCAGCACGGCCCAAGGCAGGGACTCTGGGGGACGCCGCGGGTAGGAGGGAGGGGCAGTTTTAACGGGGCAGGACAGCACGGAGGTCCGGTTTCCGGTGGTTGCCAGGTGCCGGTTCACCGCGGAAAGCATAGGTGGGCTGGGAGGTGGGGGTTCCCTGGGAACAAGAAGACTCCGGAAGTCCTGGGGCTCCTGGAAGCCCAGCAACAGATCTAGCTCTAGGGCTGGCCAGGAGCCGGGCCATAACCAGCGGTGTGTGCTCAGTCTGAGAAGGCACACGCACCCTCTCTTGCGTCGGAGGGCATTTGACAGGCGAGCTAAAACTGCAGGAAGGCCCAGTCTGGGGGCAACACTGCCGCCAAGTTACCTTGTTGTTACTGCCAGAAAGATACCTTTCTGGGTCCCTGCTTCGTCCACTCTGCCCACCACAACCCCCGGGCTCGCAGGGTGCCCTGAATCTGCCAGGAAACAGAGCGGGGAGGGTGCTCACTTCGGACACCCGAGAGACACCCGACTGTGAGCCAGATGCAGGGAGGTGTCAGGTACAGCAGTGACCAAGCCCGGCCCCTTCCGCAGACAGCCCCCCCCTCAGGATGTATGGGGAGACTGGCCATATGTCCACCGTCCATAAATACCTAGGACGTCTTACGGCCAAGGAAAAACAAAGACAGGGAAGGGGGCAGGGAGGGCCTGGCCTGGGGGGGGTGGGGGGACAGTTTTAAATAGTACGGTCAGGAAAGGTCTCAGTGAGGTGAGGCCTGCCAAAGGTGAGGGAGGAGGCCATGTGTGTGCCTGGGGGGGGAGTGTTCCAGGCAGAGAGGACAGCTAGGTCAAAAGGCCTGAGCCGGTACTTGCTGGGAGGGTTGAAGAAACAGCAACAACAGTGGGCTGGAGCGCAGGGCAGAGGAAGGCAGCAAAAAATGAAGTCAGAAAGAGATATAATAGGCCCCACCCCGTCTCTCACATGGCCGGGCGGCTGCCCTGTCCCCTTCCGTTTCTCTTCCCTCTAGAACCATGAGATCCAGTTAAAGCCTAAGTCAGTCCTGACACTCCTCTGCTCCAAATCTTCCCGTGCCTCCCCACTCCACGCAGAGGAAGAGCCAGGGCCCGACAGTATGCCAATAGGAACCATCTGGTAGACGGGGTGGGGAGGGCTTTGCTGGAGTCACGTCTCGAAGCAAGCACCCTGACCTTTTAACTGCCCCCAGAGAAGCCCCAGCATCTCATTTCATCATGAAAAATACTCCTCTGACACTAATCCTGGTCAGGAAGGTTCCTGTGATTGCGAGAAGAAGAAATCAAAGTCTAAATTACACGGAAAGCTATTTTGTGGAAATTTGGTAACGTGTCACTCACTGGTTATTTTTACCCACGCCAACCTTTTTTTTTCCACCCTGCTAAGTGATTCATCTTGATAATTAACTGTATTTCCTTCCTGGCCATGCTAGCACAATAGTATCTTTTGCAATGAAATGAAAGGATTGTTACTAAGGCACTCTCAACAAGATCATTTCAGAGGACGGTATATACATTTAAAAATCTGTATATAGAAATGTTGATCATTTTAATAAAAGATCCTGTCATGCCTTCCTTGTCAGGGAGAAGAGTCGTCCCCTGACTGGGAAAGGAGGCAGGCAAAGTCAGCAAAGGAAATGTCACATCCTGTGTAACAAAGCCGGAGGGACTGACGAAGTCAGTAAGGAGCCCACACGCTATTCTGTGTGTGTCTGACAGAATGTCCCCCAAAACCACTGTAAAGGCCCAAATAGTTTTAAACTTATTCTCATGAATATCCTTGCCTGGATCCTTTAACAGAAGGAGAAATAACGTCCAATCTCCACCTAATTCACACAATCTGAATGAAAAGAAATCCCCAAAAAGACCTTTTATTTCCTAGAAAGCCTCCTTTTTTCTGGTTCTCGCCTCTGCTGATGCTCGCTGTGAGCTTGCCTGCCACTGGCCCCTGGAATGATATGCCCCACGACAGTTTCAGCTTGGACGGTTTCCTGCCAACCTATTTGCCAATGACACTTCTGATGTCTCAGGAGGAAATGTCAAGTGTAAATAAACACTGAGTGGCAAGTGATGATGGTGTCAAGATTCAAGGCTGAACTCAAAACAGTGAATAAATTACCCAGTCCTCTGAACTGAACTGGTAAGTTGTGATTTCATTTTTTTTTTTTTTTATTCTGTCTTAGAAAAACAGAGAGTGACATACAGAAGTGTAACTTTGGACCAGGCCTTTGATTAGGGCCTATTTCTGCTCCATTGACTATAGTAGTTTACCTTAGGACACCAAATGAGCAATCAAAGGATGGCGACACTTGAACCTACCTATAAGTCCTCTCTCTTTTCCTCAAATAGGAAATTATCCTTGAAATGCCCGGTGTTTAATGTAAGAAGGTGCTTTCTTTTTCATTTTCTTGTGTGAACAGAAAGAGCCCCAGCGGGGATTGACTCTACAGGTTCGCTACTGCCACCATGTGGACAAACTGAGGATCATTAGCCCAAGTGGGTTCGCTATTAAGTGGCACAATAACAAAGTGATTCTTACACAGTAAGTGGAGGGTGTTTTTCCTGCTTTCCTTCCCCTTTTCATCTCTAACACTTCATCAGTGGAAAATAGAAAAAAATCTGACCTTCCGAGGCATGGGCTTCAGGAAAGCTGTTTTTTATTAGCTTTCTCCCAGGACCTAACGCACCTTCTATATCACAAGTCCTAAATTTGTGGCCATCTCTTACCTGACAGTGGTACACTCCATAGCATGTGACGAG